TTCCACCACCCACCTGTTAGTTTGTCTTACTGTGCTGACTTGTGTGTTACTGTGAAGCTGAAAGCTATGACAATGCTACGTCAAGTACTGTCAGGGTGAGCTCTGTGGAACAGATGTCAGTGGAGCTTCCAGACTATGACAGACCAGGAGGAAAGACTGCCAATCCACTTCCAGAAACTGGCCAAAGAAAACCTATGGTTCACAAGAGATACTGCCTAATCCATTGCTGAAAGAGGCGTTCCCTATGCTGAATGACACTCAAATGACAGAATAGCCAAAACAATGGACTCTGACACAGCAGTGACAATGTAGACAGCACAGGACTGGGCAGCATTTCCATCTATTACAAATAAGGTCGTGGTGAGTTGGAGCCTACTCTATAGAAACTAACAAAAACACAAATAACGTTCCATAGACTCAGATAAAGTTTAGCTGCTAAATGAGTTAAGAAAAAACTTCACTTTTCATTATTTGGAAAATTTGATTTTGAGAATAAAAACCTATGTACCTGAATATTGTTTTGTAAATGTAAATCTAATGCTCAAATACCTAAAATAAATAAGAATTTCACCAAGGCAAGTATGACAATAACCTTCATTTACAAATACTGTGTCCATCCCCTTGGATATCACCTGTATTTGGACAGATATATATCTAGGCCCCTAATACAATTCTGAAAGTTTCAACTTTCATAGCGAAGATATCATATGAAAACTTGGTTGATGTGGTGTCTGAATGGTACACATGTTAGAACACTGCTGAAGCCTGTAGTAGCATGTCTTTGGATCATTTTTCAGAATTTATTCCATGGAACATACCTCCTAAGCCATCACTGTTCACACATTTTTTTTTGGAAAAACAAGTATTTTCATTGCAGAACCGTATTTTATGTCACCTACACATATTTGCCCACCAATCCCCAAATCTTGAGAATCTCTATTCATTTTTTTTTTTTTTTGCCTTAACAGATTTTTATTTTCATTTACTTATTTTTAAAAACTAAGGGAGAGGGAAATAAAACACTATTTCTTGAAAATAATTTCAAAGCTACAGAAAAAATATTTTAAGAAGAAGAATATTTCATAGAACACTCCTATACACTTTTCCCAGATGTATTCATTGGTAACACTTTGCTCCACATGTTTTATCATTTCTCTCTGTTTCTGCCTGTTTCTCTCTGTCTCTATCATTCTCTTCATATACATAAGTCTCCATACTTCTTCCACATTTATCAGGTGACATTCATATTTTACTGTAAGCAAGAGCAGATACATATATTCCCCATGTATTCTATTTATCTACTTATCTGTTTGGACATATGGATTCCCAGCATTTATGATCTATTATTCATTATTGTCCTTAATAATTTTGGGTAGTGTAGTGCCTAAGGCACTTGACTGCTAATCAGAAGGCTGGCAGGTTCAAACCCACCAGCCACTCCTTGGAAGGAAGATGGGGCAATCTACTTCCGTAGTGATACTGTCTCGGAAACCCAAGGAGGGGTCGCTATGAGTCGGGTCTGACTCGATGGCACATAACAACAACAACAACAATTGTCCCAGAATTGGCCATTGATACTTTCTTGAAGCTGGTTGCTCTTTGTAATATCCCTGTCATTTTTTATAGCATTTTCTTTCTTTCTGGCATAATAACATATTCCAGGATTATCTTGTTCCTGTCCAGCTCTGGAATCAGAAATTTCCAATTCCTTTATATATACTGGAATATTCATTTCATATCATATCATAAATATATTTTTTGAACCATTGCAGATTAAATTGCATATATCATGGTTATTTACCCCTA